AAGTATACCCTGGTTCAGACTCCTATTACTACTAAATTTGCATTGCATATATTCTATTTTAGTCCTACTTATTTTAGAACCTTTTGTTTCTATGTATTCGTCCAAAAGCCTAATTTTGCATTTAATCCTTCGTTAGTTTCATCAATTAATACTATGTCATCAGCAAACATCTAGTACCATGAAACTTCCTCTTGAATATGTTTATGTTAATTCATCTATGACTAATGCAAATAAATAAGGACTACTTGCTGACCTTTGGTGAAGACCCATTGTAACTATAAAATCTAATGTCTCTCCCATTGGTGTTCTAGCATTGGTTTTTTCACCCTCATACACATCCTTAATTAGGTCCATATACCATTTTGGGACTCCTTTCTTTTCCAAAACCCACCATATTACCTTCTCTAGGGACTTCAAATATGCTTTATGAAAACCATATATAGACCTCTCTACTCCTAACTTTTCTATCAATTGTCTTAATGGAAAGGTTGTTTCCATGGTCGATCTCCCTGGCATAAACCCAAATTGGTTTTATGATATACATGTTATATGTCATAACCTTTGCTCAAATGTTCTCTCCCAAATTTTCACAGTGTGGATTATTATTTCATTCAATAGTTTAGCTAGTCATAATAAGCCTACCTCCCCCATACCTTTCCAATCTACCAAGTCCTGGCGCTTTTCCCTTCCTTTAACTTGTTAAGTGCCTCCACTTTGGTAATTATAATTTTATGAAAGTACTATGAGAGTTATTAATCCCTCCTCCACATGCACCCTCTATATGTTCTTCATTTACTAACTTTTCAAAATAGTTTGTTTATTTTTTTTTTGCCCATCTTTCCTTAACTTCTTGATCTTTTATCAAGACTCTTTGATAGTTAGGAAAAGACAGTACAAGGAATGGGGAGAAGTACACCCCCACAAGTCCATAAAGGAAATATAAAGCAAATCACTCTTTTTTTTATCAGCATATAAAATGAATCACTCTTACAAATTAAATCATCGATATTAAGCACATTAAGAGAGTGACCTAATGCTAGCTAGAAAGTCCACTGCCTGATTAGCCTCCCTTAAGGAACGATGGTACTTGATCTCCATTTGCCCTTCCCAAATGATGTTGTGGCAGTCCCAAATCAAGGTTGTATATTCTCCATGGTGGAGCCAGTGTTTTAAAAGCAAAAGGCACAAGGGCCATTTTGCACCTGAGGCGCAAGGCACACATACCTTTTTGAGGCAAAGCGCACAATTAAAAAAAAGCTAAAAAATCAAAAAAAAATGTCAAAAATTCAAAAAAAAAGCCAAAAATGAATAAAAAGAATAAAAAAATTATAAAACATAATATTAATAAAAATACATAAACATAATATGTAAAGCATATTCAAACGAGAATTTAAAAATGAAATCAAACATATAAAACATTTTCAAGCATATAAAACCCACAATCTCTTTATTCTCAATTAAATCAAGTAGCTAATGTGACATATTACATTCCTAATTCTGCAAGCCGCCTTTGTGCTTTGAGAACCCCCTATTTGTTAATGTTGTCCATTCATTCATCCTAATAAAATATCTTCTTAAAAGCAATAAAATTATAAAATCAATTATTGATCAAAAAATTAAAACTTATAAATTCATTATTTTTTGTGTGAAAAGTCAGAATTTAAGACCCTAACATGGACTTGTTTGGGCTGGCCTCGAGGGGCATGGCACGGGGACCCAGGGGCGGAGCCCCCAACCCAGCCGCTAGACTAAAAAAAAGGAAAAAGTGTCAAATTTTCAAAAGGTGCACACCTGGGCTAAGGCGGGCGCACCAGGCGTGCGCCTTTTGAATGGCTGTGCCTAGGACCTGGGCGAGGCGCCTACCCTAAAATGCGCCTCGCCTGTGTGCCTAGGTGCACCTTTTAAATCACTGGGTGGAGCAAGAATTGTTCTGCACATTGAATGGGATAGTTACTAATCTTAATAGTTAGGTGTCATTTTGATAACAAAGCCCCTAACAAAAACAAATTAACCAGATATCAGGGGAAAAAAACCCTAATGTCTACAAATTACGCTTGCAGCACAAAGAAAATGCTTTTTCTTCAATAAACTCCCCTCGATCACAGATTAGGAAATTCAAATTGTACAACAATCTTTAGACTAAGGAAGATTGAAGAACCAATAAGAAGGTCAAGAAGTTATTAACACCACATCAACCTCTCACAAAATTTTGATATTGTAACCACTACAAACATCATGACAAAAGAAAGGAGTGAAGAAAAGACATACTCCTAATTCCAGGCCTGATACAAAATTTATCTTGAAGTTTAATTACAACTGCAATAGTGTCTTAGGCCATCTAAGGGTGGTTGGGATCAGGGGCTTAATCCTCAAATTCGACAGCAATGTTATTTGAGTTCTCAATGGGCCAATGGGAGCTATTGATGTTTCAGAAGCTACAGTTAGAGCTCTCCTAGTGAGCTTGAGGGTCACCAAGTCCATCCAGCCATCCAGCTCCCTAGTTGCCAAAGGGGATTCCAGAAATGCTATCAGTTGGAATACTAAAAAAGGAGATGGGTCGTCGGAGACTTGCTCACCTCCTTAATGGAACCCGGGATATCTCAGCCTCTTTAGATTGTAAATCCAGATGGACCCCTGGGGAATTGAACTTCACAGCTGATGCCTTAACTAAGTCAGGAGTGGATAGGGACTTTTTGTATAGTGCTAATTCTTTGCTGATGTATTCCGGGTTTAACTTATTCTTTCTCTCCATTCTTTTCCTGTGTTCCTCTACCTTTCAAGAGAGAAAATAGAGATAAAAAAAAAAGAAATTTTACCTTCCTATTTTATTTCATCTTTCTTTTCTATTTTGGTTTCCCTTTGCTTTCTTCCATTTTCTTTGCTACCAAACACAGTATTAGCCTTAAGGGCCATTACCCAATGATCCCAGCTAACCAAGGTATTGAGAAGTTACAATGGATATGGACCTAAGGGATAAGACTCAAACTTTTTAAAATACACAGAGGCACATACAAACAGACAACCATGAACAGCATTATGTTGCATCAAAAGAACAAAAATTATAGAGGCCAATTAAATCATAAAAGGATTTGGAGTTAAAATGTTCAGAAGTCCTCTAATGAATACCCAAAAAACCAATTATATCTTGATTTTACCAATTACTATTTCCAATGGACAACTTCTCTTGAAATATATGCATTCTCTTCTTCCAATAAAACCCCAGCAGCAAGGAACTGGGAGCATGTTCCCAATTCCTTCCCCCTATTGCAATATCCCTTCACTGGCCAAGAGTATACCAAGCCCAGTAAGTCTGTTAGGGTGGCCCACTGATATTTAAGGAGGGCAATAAATAAAGTAAACCCAAACCTTAAATGAACAGGACAACGAAGAAATAAATGTGTATCTAACTTCTCAGTAATCCCACAAAAAGATCATTTATTTTACAACAACCTCATGAAAATACATTATTGATTGTAAGAATCTCAACAAGCAAGGCTGTCCACAAGAAAAGGTTGGCTTGGACAGGATGTTGGTTCTTGAATACACACTTCCAAGGGAGTGGATGCTTGGAACCCTGAGAAGTGCTAAACAAAACAATCCAACAGAGAATATACAAAGGATCGTTGCCCATACTCTAGAGCCTTGCTTCTCTAATTAGGTCTAACTTCTTTGTAGGCAAGATAGACTCAATAAGTGTTTCCACCACCTATTCATCCACACGACACTGTAAGCATGGGTTTGATACCATTTCACCTCCACCAGCTTACAGTAGTCACAAATGGTGTGTATAATATAAAGTTTGTCCATTTTTACTTATCAAAAAAAATATATATAAAGTTTGTCCATAACAGCAATCAACAAAGAAGAACATGGGAACACCCTCAAAAAAAAAAAAACACCAAGGAAAGAACAAACTGAGTAAGTCTCACCATACTCACCATTCCAAATGCCTTCTGTTCAATATCAGAATTCACAAATTCACATAGTCCACCTCCCAATAGTCAACCTTCAAGAATTTCTGCCTTCAAAACCAATTCATAGCTAACATTGAGAGTACTCCCATGTTGCTGTTTCCTCATTAGCAGCCATCAATTCTCACCAATTTTATACCTTTCATCTCATGTCCATGTTTTTACTACACAGGGAACTGGATCAGTGGTTAGGTTATAATCCAATAATGGTTAGAATCTTAGAGATGGGGAAAGGATTTGGGGGGTAATTTGTTGAGTATGAGGGAAACTTTTTTTTGGGTGGGGAGGGGTAGGGGAAGTTATCATTCCTAGTTCGCGAATTAGAAGGGATATTGTTCTTTTGGTCGTGATAGTTTACCTATTGGATAATGGCCATTCTGTGTACAAAATAAAACCTACAGTTTTTGTTGTAAAGGCAAAACTATGAAAAAACAATGAGACCTATATACGCGGCAAGACTAACAATTGAATTCGTAAAATCGAATGCTCGATCAACTTTTTTTTATTTAATATTTAATTTACACTTTCTTGAAGAAGATCGTAGGGAAAAAAAGGATGGAAGTTATGGTAGACAACATCAAGTCTAAGAAAAAAACCAAATCGATAGAAATCTATGCATTAACAAAAAGAAATTAAAAATGAAAAATTCTAGCTCCAACCTTGACAAGAACTAAGAAGCATATAACCCCGAAATAACAAAGGGAATTAGCTACTAGAGGAAACGCATGACCAATAAATGGTAAAGTCTTGATTATATATGTCTGGGCATCGCATAGTAGTTCAGTTTCAATGTTTAACCTATTGACTATAACAGAAATCAGTAATAATTGAAAGATAATAACACTGTGAAAGATTTCTAAAATCCCGACATGCATTCAGGAAGTTTGAATTACAAATACACAATAAATATTCTGGTTACCAACAAGGTCTCTCCGTGGGAAGAAAAAAAATGAATATCATCTCCGCAATCTTGGGAAAGAAAGAAACAAATAGGAAAAATAGAGAGGGTTTTGTGTACTTATTAGTTACCGCTTGGAGAGCTAAAGAAGGCTTCCCTTCGTTGATGAGTTGGCGAGACAATGCGAGTAAACCTCTCAAGCTTTCGTTGTTGTTCGTCGGCTCTGGCTTCGTGGCGGCCACAGTCGCCGGCTCGGTCTCTACATCCATGTCTGTGGTAAGATCCATGGTATCGGCTGTTCTTTTACCGATATTTTCCGCTTCGCTTTCCATTGCCAGCCTCACTCTTCCTGTATCATGACGACAGTGAAATAAAATGAAATTTTGTGTTCTTTTCCGCCCTTACGAACACTAGATGTTTCTTGCTGAGCGCCTGAGCGGCTGAACCATGACCCAGCCACCCAACAAGTCGGAGCTTAAGATCAAGGCCCCGGCCTACAAGGCTGTTCCCACATCTCTACACACAAGTGGTTTAGGAGGGCTCCAGCTTTGATTGAATCCGTTTGGGAGACATGGCCAGGCACCCAACCAGCAAGAGCTCTATGTAGTATCCTCCTTCGTCTTCCTCCCAAATGGGCACAGCATAATGCTGTCAATGGGTCGGGGTTTACCTGATAGAACCGAACCGACCGAATTACCGATTGATTCGGGTTTATGGTTTGTGTCCCGATTCCCGATTATAAACACCTCGTAGAGGTTTCAAACGTTAGTTGTTAAGTTTAGGGTAAAATACTTAAACCTCCCCTGACTTTTGGTGTAAAAGTTGCTTACTGACCCCTTCTGTTAATTGCACGTTAAAAATTTAACAGAAATAGATATTATTGCTCAAATTTTTTAAAATACCCATGAATCATGTTTGGGTAAAATACTTAAACCTCTCTTGACGTTTCTAATAAGTACTTAAACCTCCCCTCACCTTTAAACGTTGCAAAGTCCTCCCCTGACCTTTGGTGCAAAATCTACTTATTGACCCTTCTATTAGTTGCTCATTAGATTTGTTCTGATGAGGAAATTTAGAATATTGCTCACCACCTGTTTGATTTTTGGTTTAAGAAACAGTTAGATATTGTTAAATTACCATCACTTGTTATAATTGGTTAGGTAATGCCGATTATGTATTAGACAATATGCTTTTCAAAAGATAGAGCAGTTGCAAAAGGGTAAAAAAAATCAACAAGATTAATGGCACTAATTGTCCTTGTATCATTGCTCATGAGTCATGAAGCCAACATAAAAGTCGGCTTATTGCTTGTGTCTCAATATAGCAGTGGGAACCCACTTTGCAACTGCATGTCGACATTGAAGTATTTTGTTCGAGTCCAACACACATTGAAGTATTCTTCTATTCTCTCTCTCTCCTATGAATAGTTACGGCTACTGCATGTCGACAAGGGATTCCACTAATATCCCAAAATCGACGTATATGTAAAGCTATTCCAAATCCCATTGCATTGCACTTCATATTCAGTTTCTGTAGCTCTCAACACTTGACAATTCCTATATACAAAAAATAAAAATAATGCTTAATTGAATTTTGCAATAATAAAAATGTAATTGTTAGAATAATACCTTCCAAAATGTCTTTGCTTGGAAACCCACTTTGCAATCTTTGGAAGAAGAACATTGTTGTCATTTGAAACCTTTTCATATCTGTCCATTGCCTTAACCATCCAATTTCTCCTTATGCACTCAAAAAGAGACACTATGGGCTTGTACCACTTGTTGAAGGATTCAGACATATTGTTAGTTAAGTCATCACTCTTTGCACTAGTGCTAAAAGCATGCCTACTCCAACATTTTGGAGGTATGTCCTTCACCCACTCCAAAGCTAATAGACTTAAAACTTTTCAACTTCAACATTGCCTCATTAAAGTCTTGAACTGTATAAGCCCTTGCTGCATCCCAATAGGCATCCCTTAGTGCCATACCCTTGTGCACTAACTTCAAATTGGCATACAAATGCCTTAGACAAAACCGGTGCTCTGCACTAGGCATAATGTCATAGACAGCATATATATATATATAAGTCATTATACATAGGTTGTAAAAGTAGTTTGTACTTTTAATAAAAAAAATGCACATAAAAGGAAAATTCTTTACCTTCTGCCAATCAGAGATGAAAGTCCAACTTGGTTTTGCTTCTACTTCCACCACAGCAAGACCAATTGGGAAAATGCTATTATTTGCATCCAAGCATACTACTGTCAACATGACCCCACCATATGGGCCCTTTAGATGACATCCATCCAAACCAACAACTTTTCTACATCCACCCATTGCCCCTCTACGCATAGCAGCAAAACAGAGAAACAATCTCTTGAAAATAGCTGGTGAATTATTGGTAACTCTCTCTACATGCAACCTTGCCACACTTCCAGGGTTTGATTGTTATATTGCTTGACAAAACCGAGGCAACTTACTGAACCTTTTTCATTGCCTCCCTAATTGCTCTATACACTTTTTCCTTTGAAATTTCAATATCATATGTACTTTTCAATTCAAACATAATTGACTGCAATTTCTATGTTGCGTCATTACGTAGTTTGTTCCCTATTTTTTATGCCAACCATGTATTTGTTGTCAGCTTATTTCGGAAAACACAGGGGCAAGTATGCTCTTTATGCAATAAGTGCCCTCTTGGAGCGGAGAAACATGTATGCGCCATTTACACTCATTATTTGCACAACGAGCGGTACTCGAGATTTTTCATTCTTAATATAAACAATTTGAAAACCTTCAATGATTGAATGCTCTCGAAGAGCATCTCTGAATTCTTTAACTGTTGGAAAGATCATACCGACTTCTAGCTCTGGATCCTCTATGTTAAACACAATTTTTGGCCTTCTGTTATCCTCATCATCTGAACCAACTAAACTTTCATATTCAGAAGTTGGCTCATAATCAGACAAATAATTGTTGGCACAGTCCCCACTTTCAATTCCCTCGGTCTCAAACTCAAGATCAAGGTCTTCAGTGTCATTATCGTCTTCACCTTCCTCACTATCACTAATATCATAGTTAAGGTCATAACCTTCTTCACTAAAGTCCTCCTCTGCTCCATCGTCATTGTCAACAACCAATCGACCAACATTGCTGTCATCAAAACCACCTAGTCCTCCCCCAACACTAATGTCTCCCATGCTATTTAGTATCCTATCTAACATACATAAATACATAAGATTTGTATAAGACAACAAAACAATTCTACTTCTCCCTTTTCTCCAAGGGCAACTACTGCATATTGGATCTTATACTTATTTCACTAAAAAATATAGCAACATTTGATTTTAGTTTTATAATCTACCATGCATTATGACTAACTCTTAACTTGCAAGGTGTCTTTTCTTTGCTTATAAGGGGGCTGTTTCAGTCTTTATGCCAATGGACCATGGTTAAGGACCATCATCAAACACCTATCGGTTGAGAGACCACTGGCATGATGAATATATTAAAGTGTTCACAGTTGACACCAATAGACCAACAATAGGGTAAGGGGCCTCTGTCTCCTATAGTATAAGCATCTTAATACTAAAAGGCATTAAACAGAAAATTTTCTTTAACAGAGAAAAAGACTTCTGTACCATCAAACTTTCTGCAACAAAAAAAAAAAAAAGACTCATCATGTACGAGTAGACCCAGGTATTAAACAAACAGAGAAGTTGCCTATATAAACAAATAACAAAACAAGGTACGATCTGTTTTAGACTCAAGTAGAATCTATATATACCTTTTACTCGCCCTGTTTGCTATATAAACAATAATAGATCAAGAAAAATCAAAGAATAGAAAAACGCAAAAAGCTTAGGTTAAATAATGTATTCAACGCATGAAAAAAATGCTACCTCTAAAAACTTAAATAAAAAAAAAGATCAAAGTAAACTCAGAAAATTGTGTGAAATCACCTTCAACAAGTAGGTATTCCTTGCTTGAACATAGGGTTTTTGTAGGATCTTTGAGAATATTGAGTTGGGCGGCGGAACGGGAAAATTGGAACTAAGCGGGAATTATTTCAAGTGATGGCAGAATAAGCCTAGAGGGGTAATTTTGGTAATATGAAACTTTAACTTTTCTGGTAAACACACAAGGGTAGTTTGGGAATTTTTCCCTCTCCAACCACTAGAATTAACGGAAGGGGTCAATAAGCAACGTTTACACCAAAAGTGAGGGGAGGAGGTCTTTGCAACTTTTAAAGGTGAGGCGAGGTACAAGTACATTTCAGAAATATGAAGGGAGGTATAAGTATTTTACCCTTAAGTTTAATGGTAAAGCATAAATGACAAAATTACCCTTAATTATTCATCCTTTTCTCTCTCTCTCCAAACACTACTGATTACTGAACGAAAGCAACCCTATTTCTCCCCTCTTTTTCTTTCTCCCCCTTCCTCCAAACACTACTGATTACTGAATGAAAGCAACCCTATTTCTCCCTCTTTCTCTTTCTCCCCCTTCTTCCTGCCCATTCTTCTTTTTCTTCTCTACCCTTCTCTCTCTTTTCTTCTTCCCTTCTTACGCCGCTAAGGTCACCAGAGAAGGGTGCCCTTTCAAAACTTGTGTCTCATTTTTATAAAACTAAAAAAGGATTTCCCATCGTATCTTAAATGTGCCCCTTGTAAAAATTAAATTTGATTTATCTTAATTCTCTCACTCTAAGAAGAATAAGAACAAGGAGATGAGGGGTAAAATGGGATTATGAAAAAGTTTGAAAGGCATGTGAAATGGCCCTCGACTTTTTCTTCAAGGATGATCTATTTGTGTTTGTGTTATATGTAGACATTTTACAAGGTATATATAAGTAGTTTTTGAAACTACAAGTATGTATATGTAGTTTCCTCAAACCTTAGAAGATATATAAAAAATTAATCCCATTGCTTAGAAAACTAGACTGGACCAGTCAGTCGAACCAGTTGAGCCGTAACTTGGGGCACTGACTGGTTTGGTCACACCCCAATAAACAGAATTTCTCAAAACCCGAAGAAAATTGGTTAATCGGCCGATTTAACCAAAAAATCAAAGAACCAGTTTCAGTTTGATGAAACCGCCCAGTGGAATTTTAAAATGTTGTTAACAAGATTTAAACCCAAATTTTACCACTAATCCACCTCTTTACTTTTGCCAATTTATGAATGTTTATTATACATATTAGAATATTATATATAGTTTTTATATGACTTATATATATGTATGTATATGTATATGCTACATCATCATGGAACCTCTAACCCATGAACCTTTCCCTTCTTCGATTCTATGCCTAGTCTAGTTATCTGAACATTGATTAACCCTTAATAATATAAAGTAAATAGCTGAAACCTCCCCTAAAGTTTGGTAATTGGAATCACCCATAGTTGCAATATATATATATATATATATATATATATATATACATATACGTATATGTATATGCCACATCATCACAGCCGAACCTCTAACCTATGAACCTTTCCCTTCTTCGATTCTATGCCCAGTCTAGTTATCTGAACATTGATTAACCCTTAATAATATAAAGTAAATAGCTGAAACCTCCCCTAAAGTTTGGTAATTGGAATCACCCATAGTTGCAAGTAGCAATGTTTTAAAAACCGACCTAGAGACCGAACCGCTTTAGCATCTGGGTCATGGGCCACTAGTTCAACCAGCAAAGTCAAATAGTTCAGACCATGCCATGTCAACGCATAAATGTATTAAGTATATATGTGTGTGTATGTATATTTATATATGTGTATATATATATATTAGCAATAAATAATGTATAAATATGTTTTAGATATGTTATATGTATTATTTTATATTTAATTTATGTTTTTTAATTCAGTTTTAAATTTTTTATTTATAAAAATATTAAAAATTACAATTTGAGGTAAAAAAAGTATTTTTTTTTGCGAAAATAGCGAGGCAAGGCATCTACGGCCCTTGGGACGCATAGATCTCAAAAAGTTACCCAAAATAAAAAAAAAATCACCCCAATTGGACATTGAAGTGCAAAGTTATGGCTTCTGAAAGTTTTGCATGCGTGCAACCCACAACCCGATCACCAAGTTGAACCGATCAATGGTCGAATCGACTGGATCAAACAGTTCTTGACCAAGTCAATGGTTTTGCACCGTCCAATGGTCTTGACTGAATTGGACCTAGAATTCTGGTTGGTAATGGTTTCAAATGGTTCGACTGATCGGGTCAATGGCAAGTTGAAAATATTGGCAAATAGATCCCCTTTGTTAGAAACTTCTAACAAGAGACACAAAAATACCCAAAATACCTATGCAGTTACAATTAAGGCTAATTTTTACAAAAAACAATACACATTTTATGAATAACAAAAAAAAGAGAGTTTAAAGTCGTAGATTTACCTTTAAGCCATTAGTATGAAGGATAAATTTAAAAAATAAATCAATTTTAGAAAAGAGATTAAAAGATTTAGGATAACAATAAATACAAAGAGAAAAATTGGAAAATAAATATTTTGTCAAAAGTAATTACATGAATATTTTGTAATAAAGGGTGTCTACTTATTACTTTCTGGGGAGATGATTACATTTACCAAACTGGGTTGGGGTGGGGAATCAAAATTTTATTAAAACCATTAAAAAAACTGGAAGTGGGACGTAAAGGCCTTACCCTGCAATTCTGCAAAATCCATAACAAGGTGCATGTCAGCTCATGTGTATGCTTAACAACCCACAATCCACAATACCATTAATAATTTTTATACAAGGAAACTATAAATCAAAAATCCAATATCATGAAAAAAAGGGCTTCACCAGCATAGAATTCTTCGTTCAAAGATTTGTAAGCGAAA